GAATTAATAGGGTCACACAGTCAATCGTGTTGAAAAAATAATAGGGTCGGCAGAAAAAAATAGGGTCGGTCGGGAACCGGAACCACAGGTATTTTTTTTTTACGCCTAAACTCATTCTCGTTCATAATTCAAAAATTCATATATTATTGCTACCTTTAATGTGCATTTACTCATATAGTACAATAATTGCGGCAGCAAATATTATGAAGGTACATGGTTATGCCAATTAGCTTTGGCTCGACACTCAGAAAACTACGGTAGATCTCCTGCGGCTGAGGAGACCAACTTTCCATTATGGCCCATAGTGTGAGACATTTGAATATTAATTTAAGCCATGAAAAACCACACTAAAATTTGACTGCCCGACATATTTTACCTCTCATTCCGATTAATTTAAATCAGCATGATTTCAATAAATTTTCACATTGTATTTCACCCCATCTCTAAAAATAAAAAACTGAATGTTCGCTAAACAGCTACAATACTCAGGTTGTACCTACTCAAATGATTATATTTAAGATTTATCCTGGATTTATGTATATATTAAATATAAGGAGAGCGAAAAATATTATAAAATCTATTCAAAACAATACATAGATTGTACAAGCTCCATCTAAAACAATGCCGTGACAATTACCTGCAGTCTTCCAGTACTTTGCGAGACAACACAAAACAAATTTTTGATAAAATTTACTAAACTTTTCTTCTATCAAACTTTTCGGACGCCATTTTTAAAAAAATTTCCCGCCAAAATCTTCGCAATCCGATTACTTTCCGACTAAAACCGAATATTTTATATTTGCATAATGTGCGTGGCGTAACGTACTGAGGCTAATGTTATGGCCTTTGCTTTTCGTATCATTTTGCGGGTTTTGACCGTTAATAACTCAGGATAGACTTGGACTTTAAAATTTCATTTTTTTATAAGATAGTAGTTTAATACGTAAATGATAAGAAAAACAACTGAGAATATAAATCCTAGCTGCGTCAGTGCTGGATAATATGTAATAAAGTATTTAAATATTCTAAATCAACGCTTCTCCCATTTCACAATTATGATGTCATAGGGGACTGTCCCATGCAATCCTCTCAGTCAACAAGTTGTGTTCGCACTGCTTGTTTCTAGTTGTTGTAACAATTTTGGAAAGTTGTAACAACATTGTTATATCATGACTGTATCGGACTTGTTGGAACAACATTGCTACAAGTCTGATATCAACAAAGTTGTTACAAGTTGTTAACAGCTTGTTCCAAACTTGTTGACATGGGCGTCAATCCTGGGGGGGATGACGCGTCCCCCCCCCCAGTTTTTGGAGTGGGGGGGGGGACGAATATCTAATTATCCCCCCACTTTTTGACATGCTTAATGAAATTTTGTTTCTTGGTTATCTAAACACCTAATGCATGGTATGCTGCTCATAAAAAATTGTGATTGAAAGGAAGACATTTAATATAGCCGCTCGGAGCAAGTACTGATATCTCATGTGTAAAATTGTAAACTGCTTAAAAATAATTGCGTTTTAACTGTCTCGTCTAACCCTACAAGGTTACTACAGTTAGCTTGCACCTTCATATTATGTAACATTTAATGAAGAGAATCATTGGCGGACACTGGGGAGGCTAGGGGAGCCCGGATAATTCAATTAACATTCCAATTTTAATTATGTTAACAAACACAAAATAGCGAATAAATTTCTACATTGTCATTGGTGTGTCAATTAAATTAAACCATCATGCATTTCCATTCACAAATGTAAATAATGATGTAAATATTTACTCTGAAATGTTGTTTTTCTATGCTTAGTATGTGATTTATAACTAAATGCACCATTAAAACAGTGTTTTGAAAACCTAGCTTTTTACAAAATGTGTGCTCAGAATGCTGCAAATGCCATTTCCGGGATCCAAATTTTAAAATTTTTCCGTGCCTTTGGCACGAGCCCTCCCCCCTCAATATTTCGCAAAGTGTCCACCACTAAAGAGAAGTTATATGTAAATTTCCAGGTGGATTTCGCACATTGTAGTATAACTTTATAAGTGCCTCCAAAACGCTGGGAATGCCGTTTCGGTGTACCAAAATTTAAAAAAAATTTCGGGTAGCATACCTCCGAACATTCATAGTTTGGAGTCCGTCCCCTCCACTTTTTGGGATAGATTGACGCCCTTGCTTGTTGACATTTGGGGACAAGGAGTGCGAAGACAACTTGTTGACAACTTGTTGGCAAGACTTGCTACAAGATGTGAAACTTTTACAAAACTGGCTACAAGATGCGAGAGTTGTACCGCGCGTACACACGTAAAAACGCACAAGTCGAGAAACAAAAATGTTACAAGGTTGACGACACAAGGTTGTAACAATATTGTAATATCATGACTGCATCGGATTTGTTGGAACAGCCTTGCAACAAGTTTGATAATGCCATCAAGCTTGTCACAAGTTGTTAGCAGATTGTTCCAAACTTGTTGACAACTTGCGACAAGCAGTGCGCAAACAACTTGTTCACGACTTGTTGACCTTTCCAATTTCAGTATCCATATATTTTAGTATGCCACTACAGAGTCATGTCAGTCTTCATTCATCGTATGTTTTTTGATCAGTTCAACAATATGTAATCTTTCAAGGTCTTCTGCTAAATGCAGTGGACAATCACTAGTATCATTTATATTTATTTGAGCTCCAGCATCGAGAAGTAACTGAACGATCTCTGAAGAATCTGCAAGAAATAATAACATTTTTTATTACTACGTAGTTCAGACACAAACCACGACAGCTTATTGTAGAATACTACCTACACTGGACCATCACGTTTGGGATATCTTATTCAGGTAGTCCAGACACAAACCACGGCAGCTCATTGCAGAATACTACCTACACTGGACCACCAAGTTTGAGATATCTTTTTCAGGTAGTTCAGACACAAACCACGGCAGCTCATTGCAGAATACTACCTACACTGGACCACCAAGTTTGAGATATCTTTTTCAGGTAGTTCAGACATAAACCACGACAGCTTATTGCAGAATACTACCTACACTGGACCATCACGTTTGAGATATCTTATTCAGGTAGTTCAGACACAAACCACGACAGCTTATTGCAGAATACTACCTACACTGGACCACCACGTTTGAGATATCTTTTTCAGGTAGTTCAGACACAAACCACGGCAGCCTATTGTAGAATACTACCTACAGTACACTGGACCATCACGTTTGAGCAGAAATGTAACTTAACACTTGCCCGGGGCAAGTGAATATTATGATGGCTAAGTGGACGTTTTATCTTGCTTGCCCGATTGGGCAACTTGCCTTGCCACAAAAAGCTGGGCATAGTTAAGTTTATGTTTTCATTGTCGGAATTAAATTTTTTATAGTGCATGAACTCGATTCAAATTGTCGGGCCAGTATAACACAGCCATATAGAGTAGTGGGAGAACAGTTCAACACGTTGTCTCCTTAATTTATACCCCCGCGTCTTAATTAAGTCGCGACTTATTTTCTCTGGTATAAATTGCCCTAATGTCACAACTTGTTCAGA